GAAAGATTGGAACCCACACGAACTTGGAATCTCCTGTTCTGTAAAAAATTGCAGATAAAAATGGGTAAATGGCCACGCAACCCATAGTAGTGGCGGTCCTGCAAAATTCCGTACCTCCATGTAGTGTCATAAGCCTTCTCAAGATCGAAGAACACAGAAACAAGGTGTTCTCTCTTGAGAAAGGCTTCCCTGATCGAAGTTTCAAGTCAAATCAGATGGTCCATGGTGGATCGCTGTAGACGGAACCCACATTGGGTGGGTGAGAGGAGCATGTTTGATTCCAGAAACCAAACAAGACGAGCATTAACCATCCTCTCTAGAACCTTACAAAGACAACTAGTCAAAGCAATGGGACAATAATTAGAAGGAATCTTGGGTTCCTTCCCAGGTTTAGAGAAAGGGAGGACAATAGCCTGGCACCAAGCATCTGGAAAAATATGCTCCTGCCAGATCCAGTTAAAAATAACCAGAAGAATAACAAGAGAATCAGGAGAGAGATGGCGCAACCTCTCATAATGAACATCATCAGGTCCGACTGATGTACTGCCAGATCGATGAGACGATTGACTCGAAAAGAAAGAGGCGATCGCTCTGCCCGAGACCTTATGGCCAAGAAGGCAGGGGAAGAAACAGAAATGCTAGATGCACGAGAAAAGCTCTGGCTGAGAGCATCAGCAATGCTCTGGACATCAGCAACTTCCTGGCCATTGGAGAGCAAGATGGAAAGGGGATGGGAAGCATACCTTCCAGTGACTCTCCGAATCTTGTCCCATACAGTTTTGGAACTGGTGGTAAAAGAGATGCTAGTAGTGAACTTTATCCAAGAGTCCTTTTGGCTTTGACGTCTAACCTGCCGAGCATGGGCATGAGCCCGCTGATAAACAATGCGGTTAGAAAGAGTGGGATACCGTCGAAAGGTATCCCAGGCCCGTTTTTGAGCCTTCCGTGCCTCCTGGCAGGCAGGACTCCACCATGGATGAGAATACTGTGGAAAACGTGTCGAGATCTTAGGAATAGAATAAACAGCTGCCTGGACAATACAGTCAGTCACTGCCACCACACAATTGTCTATTAATGGTAGACAGACGAAGGCAGGATCAAGTTCAGAGAGAGGGGTGAAAGATGACCAGTCAGCCTGGTCCAGCTTCCACCGTGGCACTCGGGTCGGGTGGCATCGACCATGGCCAACCTCTCTCAGTATGATGGGAAAATTATCACTGCCCCGCTGTCGACCATCCAAGAGAAACGAGTGAAAAGTGCAGGGGAGCAAATTGAGAGATCAATGGCAGTAAAAGACTGACAAGGTGCATGAAAGTAAGTGTATGTGCCAGTATTGAAGAGAGAAAGGTTGTGATCTGAGAGCATGCGCTCTGTATGGAA